TAATATATCCATCCATGGGCCCCAAGCCGCTTTGCCATCCCATGCTGAGCAATGTGGTGAAGTATGGTTAAACAATCTCTATGACCGACAGAGTATGCAGAAGCATTCATCCAGCAGTGGATCGGCAAAATAGCTGTAAATTATATCATGTAATGATAATTATTACGTATCTTTGCAATCGTGTATTCAAAAACGTAAATAAATCAAAGTATGAAACCGCATCGATGTGTATTGATTCTTAGTGTTCAGGATACACCCATCCAATATCTGGTGTAAAAATCTGTGTTTTAGCCGTGTATGTAAATTACATGAAAATAATACGCCCATGCTGCATTTCGACGAGTTGAGCCAACACAACTGTACAAGCAAGAGGCCAACAAAACTGAGAAGCAGTACAAAGAGTCGGCAAAAAAACAAGACTGAACAATAATTGATTCTCCCCTCGAATTGGGCTCAGGACTGCGGCAATTTATCGGATCGACGGGGAGGTGAATTGTTCCAACCTCGACTTAAATGCCGCAGGAATACTCGCATGTACAGCAGTACAACAGGGCACTGTTATTAAGCACTCCGCCCTGTGGTTTAAAATGGGCTATAAACTTAACAGCGTAAACACTGGGCCATTAGTGTGTGTACAGCACTGCCAACCTCTGTAAGGCTTGCTCTGGAAGTTTGTGTGCAAAATGAAACCCGCTTGCAATCATTGGCCTGTACGCTGCGGTGTAACCTAATCAACTTTGAAAGCGTACAGCTTGTAAAGCAGTGGAAACCCCAAATGATTTTGAAATTAAGTTTGGAAATGTGAGTCTCTCGCCGGGATACAGGAGTTTGGCAGTGCCCACACGTATCTTGTGAACATTATCATTAAAGCTTGGCGCTGGTTGAATACTTGGCCAGTGTTGCCAAATATGAGCGAATGCTATTAGGGGAGATGTGCAATATCCAATGTTCAAGCTGGTTACGGCGGGAGTCATTGAACGCTGGGTCAGAGTCAGAATGTAATAATAATGATAGGCTTCATTTATAACCACACGTGAGAGCCCGTTGAGATCAAAAACTCTCTCTTTCAAGGGAGATCTGAGCCAAACAAGTAACACGGCAATTAAGGTGTGTCCTAAAAAACATTTGATAACCTACACAGAAAAAAGTTAACTCTCTCATGCATTGTGTCTACTGTAGGGGGTGGGGGACTGCTGTTATCTATGCAGGGGCACTGCGGTGGCGAGATGCTGACTCCCTCGCCTGGCCATGCAAAAGGTTGTAGGTTTGATCCCAATCCCGACCCTGACGCCTGTATATTATGAGTCTGCATGTTCTCCCTGTGGTCGCGTGGATTTATTTCTGGGTCCTCCGGTTTTTCCCTCCAGATTTAGAAACATGTGTTTGAAGTATTAGGCTGCTATAGATGTTCACATGATAAGCCACTTCATTGAGCTATCATTTGTGACCAGGTCGCTTCCTAAAAAGAGGCTATATAGCTCAGTGGGCCTTACTTGGTGAAATAAAAAAAAGTTTAGTTTTTTTTATAGTTTCATACGACTGCTTGGAATTTACAATGATATTTTAAAACACATTTCTACACAGCACTGAATTATACCATTGTAATTATACATACAAATATATTGCCCCATAATGACAGAATAATGCCTCAGGTTGCTATTTTAAATGAGACTATCCTGGTCTCTTGAGTTATCACCTGGTTAAACGAAATAAGTGAAATATGTGTAGGGTAAATTTGACTCCTATATTCAAATTAAACCAAAATAGCTTGTTGGTTAACTTTTAATAATTCTTGCAGGGGACGGTTAGGATAACCTAAGATAGCTTCATTGGAACACTGCACAATCCACCATTGATTGTTTTTTTTAATTGTAATCAGAAGTTTATTTCCTCACTGATGGCGGCACAATGAATTTCATAATTCACTTTTGGCGTCTACTTAATCCACCGAAACAGAGGCATACTTTATGGACCATTGGATTTTGTGAGTAATTAAGTATTTTCCAGATGCCTCTCTCAGTTATAAGTCACAACAACTATTGCGAGCAGTGAAAATTCAGCAAAATCCAATTTGCAAAAGTGCTATATTAAACTTTACAGCAAATCAGACACCCTGATCAACATCCATATAAATTACAGATTGAGTTCAAGATGAATTTCACATTGAAATTCAAGAATTCAACAACAAAGCCTATGGTGTCAAAAAGAAACGTAACAATCTGCTATTTGTTAATCTGATGCTGCATAAAATGCCCACATTTCCTGAAGAAGCTTCCAGCATGTGGAGCGAAACGACGGACGTCGTGCCGAACTACATGACGAGTTGGGAAAAAAAACACGAACGTATCGGAGTGCCGTTTCATTTTTTGTTCAGTAGGTGGAGCTCTTAGATTGTAATTGGAGTCGGGTGTGGGTTATTTCCCCCCCCCCCCCCCCCTGTTGAGGCACAGTTTACTGTTCATTTCAGGCAGGCAAATTTACATTTAATTGCACGGTAATGATAGCAGTAATTTATAGGATGATATCAAAATTAAATTACTAATGTCAGGACTGTGCATTTAAATTTTGACGTTAATAATTGAATTGTTAATATTGAGAAAGATCACTCTTGCTAATATATTATTAATTTTTTTAAAAGCCAAACCTTGCAATAAATGAGTCGCAATTATTTTTTTTTATTTTACGCTGCTGCGGAATATAATCAGCCCTTATGCAAATTAATCACCAATAATTGTTATTAACAAACTAAACTTTCCCATTGGTGTAAATTACAGAAACAAATTATCTACATCCACACTACTGAATATTTTAACTTCTCAAATCCGAGTCTCATTTTTATTCCACCAGCCTGCATCAGCTTCTGTTATTGCATTCCAAAATGAAGGGTTTTGTTGCCAGAAAAAAGGGGAAAAACCCCTATTATTACATTTTGGTACTGGGAAAGGAGGCCCAATGATGTAAATGCTCACCCCGAGCCCTCATTACTTTGATAGTGCATTGTCTTTGAGTTGTGTAACGCCGTTTGGCGTCATCTGGTCGAGCACCAATTGGGTCGAGGCTCAAAAGAAAGCCGTCCCTTGGTGTGGACCAATCAGTTGCAAGGACAATGCATAATTATTATAGTATGTTTTTTGTTTGCATTTTGACTGCAGGTATTGTGGTTAATGCAGACATGAATCCTTGTAAAAAGGTTTCAGTTTTGTTGCCAGAAAAAAGGGGAAAATCCCTATTATTACATTTTGGTACTGGCAAAGGAGGTCTAATGACATCTTTTACTTAAAAAAAAGTGTTTTTATCAATATCATTGTTACAGCATTGATATTTGGAATTATGAGAATGGAAAGCTTTATCTCAATTTAATAGCAAGATAATGATGTCTTAATATCTACGTGCATCTTATGCATATTTCCTTAAGCCATTACCATACTGAGCCCCTTGTGCGATTACTGGCCCTACTGTCATATAAACTGGAATTCACGTCATCCAAATCTAGGCATAAATCGCGTAATAATGTTATCAATGTCAATAATAATGATGGACATTCGAACCTTCAAATAACAGGTAAAGGTGCCGCCCTGTATTTGCTTGCTGATACAACTACTGGCCGAAGGGCTTCCGCTAGAGGGAGCTCGAGTGAAGCCCTCTCGAGGGTATTTTTGGCCTACTCTTCCATCCTGGTCGGACATCTTGCAAGCGGTGGGGGTGCCCACACTTTACCTCGCCGATAGACTACCTGTGGGTGAACTCATTCACACTGCCGGGTGAACAGAGGCCGGCGGGAGAGTTAAGAAATGTACACCATTGTTCCAACGCCACACCGGGAGAACGAATCAAACTGAGAACCATGACACCACGGCCACATCCAATCTCGTAAATGTCAATCGTTTTTTTTTTTTTTTATCCAGGAAAACCTTACCAAGTCTTAATACTGTTTCGGGAGGGTCCTGCATTGTCAGGGTTCTGCATTGTGAGGGTCTTAGGAGCGCCACGGTGGTGAAATATTAGCTACCTCGGCCGTTATACAGGAGTTCGTGGGTTCGATCACGACCCTGATGCTGATATATTTGGAGTTTGCATGTTCTCCCTGTGGTCGCGTTGATGTTTCTCTCGGTCGGTCCTCAGGTTTCTCCCTCCACATGTAGAATCAACATCACGCGTTCGGAGTATTTGGCTGCTGCTATAAATTCCCAAGCGATAAGCCACTTCGTTGAGCTATCACCTGTGGCGAGGTTGTTTCTGACAAAGAGCCACATAGCTCGGTGGCCCTTTACCTGACAAAATAAATAAAAAAAATAGTTACGTAGTTACATAGTAGTAGCCCCCTTCGCATAAGCTGAATTCATCCTTCCGTCTTGACGGTGATAGTCCTCTGAGGCCCGTTCCTTCCTTCCGCTCGTCGTGAGTCTCGAACACCGGACCATCATCTCCCTTCTAGCCGCGACACGTCCCAACCCAAGCCCTCCTACTGCTCTTAACAGTCCATGCGATGCCTCCAACGCACGCGTTGCTTCCTCCCCCCCCCCTGCCGCCACCCCCGTCTCTCAGTGTACTTCCACGCATTGCATCTCTCCACATGTAATTTGGTCAGAGTCCACGTTTCTCATCCACGGGTCGTAGCCCATAAAACTCGTCGTGAGCGTTACACGTTCGGCACATGGGCGCAGTTGCATTTTCACGGTTTCATAGACTGAAAACTCATTTTCTCTCGATGGAAAACTCATTTCTTCAGAACTGCTCGTTTTGTTTAGTTTGTTGTCCTTCCACGTACGGCGCGTAAGAAGTTCAGCACACCAGCGAAACGTCGTACTCGAATTGTAAATGTTCCGGGTCTACTCTCCAACACTAACTAATTGCCACGTTTTGTTTACTAATTGCCAGTTTCGGTTGGTGGCGGGTTACGCGACCTGACCCCCCCTCCCCCCCCCCAAAAAAAACCCTTTATTATGAATAACGTTGGTCGCGAAAGCCAAACGTGTTAACCACATGTGCATTGTTGACAGGACGATCGTGAACACCCGAGGTGGCACCGGAGGATTGGCGCACGTCGGCGGCTCCTCCGTGGCCAGCCTCCATCCCGCGTGTCCCAGGCGAGCGCCGGCTCTCGCCGCCAGTGTGAGTGCCAAGCCCCCGTCTCTGCGCAGTGCCCTCTGATGCAATCCATTCCCCTTATCCTCGACCGTCCTCGTGGCCTTTATGGTAGTAACAAGTACAAATGCCCTTCAGTGTTTGAAACAATAAATATAAATGCGCTCTAAACATCGCCTTCGGTGCCATGTTCCTTCCAAAGGGTTTGGTGGCGTGCAGAACCTCTCTCCGCATTCCTCTGTCCTTCCAGTCATATCATCATCAACAGCCATGGTCAATCCACTGCTGGATGAAGGCCCCCGCAAGCCGCCACCATCACCTCTCGCGATCCCTGCAATGCAGCAGTCCATCCGGCACCTACTGCACACGAGCGGATATCTCCGCCAGTCTCGCAGCGTTGGTCATCACCAATCTCTGTCCTTTTGTTTACGTCATCTGTCCATCGCCTTCTTGATCTAGCTCCAGACCTCTGACCATGTGTACACCCTTCCCGTGTGCTCTGGACTTTTTTCAGAAAACTTCCTGGTATGCACATGGAATTGTCCATAAAAATACTTTTACAAAAATGAATACAGTACTTGTTGTTTTGAATTTTTAAAAAGAGCATGATTTCTGTACATGCGTTTTTAAATAAAGTGGTTAGCGCCCTGTCCTACGAACTCGGCGACCAGAGTTCGATTCCCGGCCATGGTTTGGGGTGCCATGGTGGCGAGATGTTAACTACCTCGCCTGGTATACAGGACGTCGTGGGTTCGATCCCAACCCTGACGCCTGTATATTTGGAGTTTGCATGTTCTCCCCGTGGTCGTGTGGATTTTTTCTCCGGGTCCTCCAGTTTTTCCCCCCATATTTAGAATCAACGTGCATTTTAGATTATTTGGCTACTGCTATACATTTCCACACGATAAGCCACTTTGTTGAGCTTCCATTTGTGGCCAGGTCGCTTCTCAAAATAGCTATAGAGCTCAGTGGGCCCTACCTGGTAAAACATTTTTTGTTAGTTTAGTTACATAGCAGTGATGAGTGTAACCTGAACCGGTCCTGCTCCTGATGCTGCCCAACCTCCACCCCCCACCCACACGCAGCCCAAACTGACCAGTGTAGTGAAGTATGGTCATACCCATCTCATGACCGATCTGACGTGGGGGAGGCCTTAACCATGTTGTGCATTGAGAATGGCCGGGAATTCGTTACATTTGTTACTGCATTGACAGTTACGTGAAATTGCCATTGTTTAATCGTGGCGAGACTCAAAAATGTACTTGAGAATGGACATTTAAGTGGGCGTAGCAGATGGAACGCCAGATGGATCTAATCTCTCCTGTCCGTGCCAAGCTATGCAGGCTCCTTTGGTGATCAAAAGGCACACAAGTAAAAAGTCACATTTTACACCCAAGTGTTAATCACGTATCAATCAGGATTCATTTAGGAGTTCATTAATTTTGTCCACTCTGTGATGTCTAGCATAATTCATTTTAAAAACCTTTTTTCATGCATGAATAACAGCTCAATTGGGAATTAATGAATTTTCTGCCAGCATTATTTAAGATAAGAGGAAATAGAATCACATTCCCCTGTGCTGTCCTACTTCTGTTCGCTATTGCTTTAAAAATTAAATATGTAAATTTTACATGTATTGTTGGGTAGTGTATTTCAGTAAAATCGAAAAAAAATTACAATGTAAATCACATGGCTTAAAAGGTGTCTTTTTTATTCCTCACTTGTATTGGCCGATGACTTCTAATAATTTCTAATTAATAATAATTTAGATAATCCCAATACAGAGTTTCCTCAGATAATACGTACTGGCAGTTTTGATGATATTTTTTTGTATCATGTATAAAACAAACCTGACTATAATATAAGAAAAGAAAATAAGATGATAATTGCTGCGTTAATGTTGCCGAGGAACAAAAGCATATTTGCTTATTTAGAAAATTATCCCACTCAAAAGTTTATAATGAGGACACAAATATCGCTTTGATGAGCGCTGACCAATTTCGTTAGTCCCATTACATTTTCTTTAATGTAATTTAATCCGTCACGTGTGTTAGCACAACAACAACAACAAATATCGTTTTGATTTAAAGCTTTCGTCACTGCAGGGATTCATATTCTTGGTTCTTTCGGTAAAGTCACGTAGAAGGGAAACAATAAAATAATAAAAATATAAAATAATAATATTCTCACGACGTTTCGACTGCAACACAAGCAAACCACAGCAAGAAAATTTGGTTTTCACACCTGATGATGATTGCTTGTGTTGCAGTCGAAACGTTGTGAGAATTTTATTGTTTTATATTTTTATTATTTTATTGCTTCCCTTCTACGTGACTTTACCGAAAGAACCAAGAATAACAATTATCGTGGCAATCTAATAAACGAATAAAGCTTTCACAAAATCATGTCCGTTTGTATACGTATAAATATGCGCATATGGAGGCATCAGTCAGACTTAAGTTGACATAACAAACTTTTTTCGGAGTTGTTTTTGTTCGCTGCTGATTTTGGCAAAGAGCCTTGCATGCCATGAGGAGGCTTCGTATCTGCACCCTTTGCTTGTTTGGCCATTAGGCCGATGTGCTCGTCATTGCAGCTGGAGTGAGGGTTAAAAATGTACCTGCTTACAAGAACCCTTCAGTCTATTCACAGGGGAAAGGCTCCATGCGTTTGTCTTCTCAATTCCTCGTTTTATTCCCATAACACAGCTGGACACCGCTGGAATATCAAACTTTTTTGTTGATCAAGTTTGTCCATTTTCATTTAATTTTAGTCTATTTTCTTTCTCTGACAATCGTCATTTCATTTATATATTTTTTTTTACCAAGCTTTGCACATCGTTACATCTATTAGACGCGTGGAAAATGGCTCGTTTATGAGGTGAACCAAATGCCTGAAGATCTCCGAACCCAACAACAGCAACGCAATTGCTGTACAACTAAACAAACTTGCATACACACAAATACTTAAAACATTTAACAGAGCAAAATTCACATTCAGTACATTTGATTTGCTCATACAGATTTTTTTTTATTAAAGTAAGTCTTGAGTCTGTTCTTGAATTGATCCGTGCTTGTGGTTGCAGTGATATGGTCAGGCAGACCATTCCATGGCTGGCACGGTTACAGTAAGGCTGATGCGATGAATTTGACTATTTTATTTTCATCAAGCGAGTGTTTGCACTCTCAGTCATTGTCTCCGACTCCTAAAAAAAATTACATTCTCACCTGCCAGCCCGGCATACGCGCATCCTATTGCAGGTGATAGGGAGCACGGTGGAGCTCGGAGATGGGAGCTGAGAATCTGGAGACAGGAGGGGAACGTGTACAACTGCTCTCCCCTTAGCCCACCCATTCAGCCCCCCCCCCCCCCCCACTATTTCCCCCTCCTTTCTAAATCCTTAGCGCTCGCGTAAAGCTGACGGCCCGCTGAAGGCAGGTGATTCATCAGTGCACCAGCGCCTATCGCATTCACCACGCACCACAATTAATCAGGGTCCTGGGTTTAATTTCATTAACATTCCTCCGCGAAATGCAATCCAGCAGCCACCGCCGTTAATTCAAGCACACCAAAACTTGCACCCCTCCCCTTCCTTTCCACCACCCTCCTTTTCCACCGTGCCCCCCCCCCCCTCGCTTCTTTTCCACCCCCCCCCACCCCCCCCCCGTTGCCGCCTCCTCCCAACTCCTGCCCCAGCCTCCCCCCCTCCCACCACCCCCAACTCCCAACCATCTCCAACGAGAAAAAAAAAATGATTGCCGAAATGTCATAGCGGCTCACACGTACACACGAGCCGTCGGAATTGGCTGGGCTACAGTAAATTGGAATGTCTGGAGCTGGCGGTGCTGGTGTTAGCGAGCGGGGGAGTGAAAGGAAAGGGAGGGTGGGGTGGGGGTGGGGGTGGGGGGGGGGCGATGGTGGGTGCAAGGTAGTGGATGCAGAGTCGGGTGGGCATGGGGGAGAAAGTGTGGGTTTTTTCCGTGGTTGTTTTTAATTGGTTTTGCTGATGAATTGCTTGTCGGGAGGGTGAAGCGCTATCTAATTGCGTAGGGTGTGGAGAGAATGGGATTTTTGGTGATAGAACACTCAGTGGTGGCTGGAGGGGGGGGGGGGGAGGGGGGGATAAAAAAACAACACACCGAATGGGGAAAGAAGCCTTTTGGGTTTTTTTGCAGCGAGAGTAAATCAACAGCTCCATCAGTTCACCTAGGATTGTGCATCCTTGGGGACACTGTATTGCTTAATTAATGCACCCATAATTCTAAGTGTTTTAGTGAATGCGTTAACTTAAACTTCCCCCCCCCCCCCTCCAAGGAGTTAATTTTTTTTTCTCGTGCAAATGACTCAGGTGCTTAATAAATTGGGGGTGTTTAAATATGTGCACGGCCTTGTGCGTAATTGCGCAGATGCAAATGCATATCGGTGTTTGTGCATAAGGCATTCCTGAGGAATATTTCACCGATGCTCCGCAGTTTTGAGGATAGCATCACCAGTTTCTGGGATAAAGATGAGCAATTTCATCACAATCTCAATGTTCCGTCCGTTCCTTCGATGTACATATGACATTGTACGAGCAGATACGAGGGTAGGTCATACATCTTGATTATTACCAAGTACAGCATAGAAATTAAATCTTTTGCTTTAACATTTTTCATTAGGATTATCTCTTGAAGTTTTAGCTTTCCTGGATTATTGATGACTATAATTGCCATGATACGGATATTTTTTTGTTAAAGCCTTACTATAAAAAGTTTTGAAACTTTTGCAAATATGTTCCTTATATTTGACAATTTTAAAAGAAAGTTGCTTGAGGTAGGCTAATGTCATGCCCCAGCATGGATTTATCTCATGTCATGGTTAAACAATAGGTTCTAACTGACCACTGAGAACTTGGGTTTGAATTCGGCCAATAGCGATTAAACGAATTGAAATAAATGGTCGGTTTAAGCCCATGCACCAATAACGGCAGTTGAAAAGCAATCAATGTTGGAGACTAAAAATAGTATTAGGTTAAATGTCAATTGCCATACATCTCTTAAACAAGTACAATGGAGAAAGAGCAGTGTCCCTCGTGTGGATAATCGGCAATTGAAGGGCTTTTGGAAGTAGTTATGAAGTATTCACCTTCACGAGGATGCTTTCTAACATGGAGTGTGAATGTAAATGTTCTCATCTCGTGATGTAACACTGATGAGCACTATTGGAATATAGTGTAATAAAAAAAACACTCTAAGAGACTTGTCACATCCTGTTACTTTCACATGTGCACATATGGCGGGGTCATAAAGTGTTTAAAAGAGTATATCGAAAGTGCAAGGACACATTTATATAATTACACGGTGTCATCACCTCAATACCTGGGACTATTTGTGATCAGTATGGGTAGAACGGTGGCACAGTGCTCAGTGGACTGCGCTTACGAACCCGGCTACCTGAGTTCAACTCCCGTCAATGGCTAACATCGGCGGTGAGGGTTATTGAACCGGTCCCGCTTCACATAACCTGGGTGGTGAAGTATGGTCAAATAACCCTCACGACCAAACGTGACGTGGTGACGCCTTCATCCAACAGCGGATTGATTCGCAAAGAGCTGAATGTTACAGGAACTATTTTACTTGAGCAGTGCGTAAGAATGACGACTCTAAATAAGTCCGACAAAAACGAGTATTAC